GGCGCCGGCGGCGCGCCGGCGCCCGGCGCGTCGCGCAAGCCGTCGTCGAAGCAGCGCCGCGTCGAGGGCGCCGGGTCCGGCGGGCGGAAGCCCGCGGCGGCGCGGCGGCCGGCGGCGGCGCCGGCGTCGCGGAAGCCCGCGGCCCGGCCCGCGTCGGCGACGCCCGCGCGGCGCGGCGCCGGGCCCGGGCCGCGGCGGCGGAGCGACCTCGACCGGCGGAGCAGCCTCGACGGCCTCGGGGGCCGCGCGCCGCTCGACGCGTCCGCGAGCTACCCGCCGTCCCTGCCCTGGGACCCGAGCGACGTGCCCGTGCCCGCGGCCGGCGGCGCCGGCGCGGCCCTCGCGCTCGCGCGCGGGGCCATCGACGCGGAGCTCTTCGGCGCGTGCCGCGCGCTCCGCCGCGGCGACGCGGGCGCGGCGCGCGACGCCGTCGAGGCCGCCCTCGGCAACTTCGGCGACGCCTGCCGCGCCGCGGTCCGCGGCGCCCTCGACGGCGCGCGCGCCGAGGCCGCGGGCGACGCGGACGCGGGCGACGGCGACGGCGACTGCGCGCGCGCATCCGCGCGCCTCGCGGCGCTCGAGCGCGACGGCGAGGCCGCCGCCGCCGCCCTCGCGCGCCTCGAGGCCGAGGCCGCCGCCTGGCGCGCCGCGCCCGCGGGCGACGCCGCGCTCGCCGCGCTCCGCGCGGCCGTCGCCGGCGCGGGCGCCGCGCCGGGCGACGACGCCGCCGCGCGCATGGAGGACGACCTCCGGCGCGTCCACGCCGTCGCCGGCGAGGCCAGGCGCGCGGACGCCGCGCTCCTCAGCGCGACGGCGGCCCAGCGCGAGCTCTACACGGCCTACGACCAGGCCCAGTTCAAGGACCTCCCGGACGTCCGCGACCCCAAGCGCCTCATCCAGCACCTCGGCCGGAAGCCCTAAGCGGACCGCGGCCGGCTTGTTGTTGTTTTGGGGGGGGGGGGGGCTGGAGGGGCCGCCGCCGTCGTTCGAAGTCGCGCGCGGCTCGCCGCTCACGTCCGCTCACGCAAGCGGCGAAGCCACAAAACTTGGCGACGCACGATGGCGGCGTCGGAGCACCCGCTCATCAGTGAGCTCGAGGCGTGCCTCGCGGCCCTCGACGGCGTGGACAAGACGATCGAGGACCGTTCGCCCAGCGGCGCCGCCGTCAACGACTTTTTCAAGGCGCTCGCCTCGCTGGAGACCGTCGTGACGGCCCACCCCGAGGTGCAGTTCCCCGCCGAGGCCCTGGAGCCGGGCTGCGACTGGGACCGGCTCGCGGCGTCGACGCTCCGCGAGAGCCTCGCGGGCCTCGAGCGCTGCGAGCGCCGCAAGCGCCACGCGTTGGACCTCGCGGCGCTCGTCGAAGCGGGACTCGGCTGACGGGAGAAGGAAGGTGGGCTCAAGAGACCCGCGCCGGCCGCGCCCCGCGACGCGCGTCCGAGGCCGCGGCCGGCGCGCCGCACCGCGCGCGTCGCCACACGCGGCCGCACCGCCGCCGCGCGCCGCCGCACCGCCGCCGCGCGCCGCCGCGTCCCGAAGAACCTTCCGACGCGGCGCGCTGCTTAGTCAAGCTCCCGGGGCGAGAGTCTTACGACGTGACCCCGGCAGAAGTATCGCAAGAGACCGAAGGCTGTGGAATAAGGCCGACGTAGCGGGAGGGGCGACAACCCCCATCGCGAGCCGGTAAACAATCGAGCCGACATCATTAGGTCCGCCGACGCCGCGCGCGCCGCCTCCGGAGCCCGCGCGCCGCCGCGCCCGGAAGCCGACGCCGTCGACGCGGCCGGGGATTACGAAACGAACCGTCCCGGAGGGAGCCACTCTGCACAAGAGCCCGATGCCGGCGAGACGAACCCTCTAAGAAGTGATGAGGCCGCGCGGCCGCCGCCGCGCGCGCGGCGCGGCCGACGCCGCCGGCCGCCACGGGCCGCTCCCGCAGGCGCGAGCGCCCCCCGCCGCGACGCGGCCCCGCGCCCGTCCGCGCGCCGCGTCCGAAGCGCGCCGCCGCCCGCCGCGCGCCGAGGACGAAAAACGTACCTTCTGACACCTCTTGTTTGAGAGCTTATTCACAGTTTGCTCGTTGAACGTACATCTACTTCCATGCTAATTACGAGGCACGCCCGCCGCCCCCCCCCGCGCGCGCCGCGCCCGCGCGCGCGGCCGGCGGACCCGCGCCCCGCCTCCGCAGGCGCGCCGCGGCGGCGCGCGAGCCGACGCGTCGTCCGAGCCGACGCCGCGGACCGCGAGCGCCCGGCGCGGAACGTCGTTCGGTTCTTCGGTCCGCGTGATTTCAGAAATAGATGACGAGTCTGACGGCGCTCCATCCATTCATAACGAGCGTCCGATCCCTGATGCACCAACGAGGCATTTGTATGATGGGCGGAAAGCCGCTTCGGTCGCGGGACGCCGCCCGCCCGCGCCGGGGGCCGAACCCCCCCCCCGCGTCGCGCAGGCCGCTCGCTCTCTTCGCGATCGCGGGCGGCCTCCCGGAGCGGGCGACGCCGCGGGGGGCGCGACGCCGCGGTCCGAGCGCGACCCCCCGGCCGCTCCGCCAAGTGCTCCGTCCGCGATCGCGGCTGGCAGGCGGCCGGAGCGAAGTCGACGCCGGCGCGCGCGGCTGATCTTTCCACGGCCCGCTCGGAAGCACCACCCCTGGGCTCATAAGCACCATTCTGGACCGCTCGTACGCCGTCTGGACGCGGTTACGGCCCCCCCCGCGCGCGCTCAGTCGGGAACGGG